CTAGAGGTTGCTTGGTGTTTGTGCTCTAGCGTGCAAATCAGTAAGGTAAACAAATAAGGTTGAAAAGTAAGCTTGCTTTGCTTGTGAGGGAATGAAAAATATTTATACCTGAGATAACATGATAGGCAGCATTTGAATTAGCATGGGTGATGCCAATGTCGCCATAGATGGATCGGTGGTTGCCCAACACATCTACACACCCATTTAAGAATGCAAAGGTCATGATAGAGATCCACATCAATTATAGGTAGTGGGAGTTCAGTAATGTCAACTATGTGCCTCCACTAATGACCTAGTCATGTTAGGTCTACCTCCTGCTAACTGTTTGGGGATGTCAAGTTGGCAAAAAGACAAAAATACCCTTAGTCAACCAAAGACTAAAATACCCCTAATCTAGAGGTATTATTTAAACGTCCATTTTTCCCCTAAGATGGATAATGTCCACATTAAAAAGAAATTGATAAATTAAACTTGACACTTGAGTCTTAAATCTTGTATCTTGTATTTAGAAAGTCAAATCTTACACTACTAGAAGGCTAGGTAGACCTTCCATAACAAAAATTATTCCTTCAATAATGACAATTGCTCTATCCTTCCCTACATATCTAAAGTCACCTTTGCTATATTCTTTCCTTGCCATTTAATTAATGATTAAGCACTAGCAAATAGTACAGACATCTCATTTTGACCAAGATTTTTTAAAATATTTTGAACAATTCAAATTAATATGAATTAAATTTTTAGATCAATTGGAATTAAATCCAATTCATTTATTTAAGCTTAAGGTTAAATTCGGCTTTATATTTGTGTTCAAATTTTTATTGAACCAAATTTAATGTTTAATTTCTTTTGTCTTGAAATTTACTTTTGGGCCTTTGAATTGTTGATTAAGCCTTAAGATCCATTAGGTTTTTATTAAGCTCACAGCTTGGACCAAAATCTTTTTCTTATTTCTATTAATGTTCATTAATTTTTTTAATTAAAAATCAAAAGTGCAAAAAATGCAAATTTTTCAGAAAAAATCTGAATGCTATTCAAATAAGAAATTCTTTTGAGATAAAGTCTTTAAAGATGGAAACTCATTCAAAAATGATTATCCCAATCTATCAAATTGATTTTGATTTAGAATTCATTTTTAGTTGGGATTAATTCTTTATATATTGGAAGGAGTTGACAGAAAAAAAAAAAAAAACAAAAGGCAATTTCAAAGTAAGAGCAAAACATCCAAAAAAACCCAATTTTCAAAATTTCATAAACATAGAGCTATACCTGACAATTGAAAACAGGCCATACTTTCCCTATAGCCCCAACATCACCATCAACACCTACTATCACCTACCATCCCTCACAATCACCATCTTCCATCACGATTACCAAGAACACAGTCACTAGCCTAAACTTTTCACAACTAGCACCTTCAACCAAGAACCTAGATTACCCAAACCAATATACCCAAAACCCATCACAAAATAAACAATCAATAACAATTCAAGAGAAACACACAAAAATTCATATGTTTTCAAAGTACGCTTTATAGTAAACAAATTTGGCTTAGTATATTTTTTAGTTTAAGGTTTTTTTAGCGAATTCGAAGTGAGGGATTTATAACACTTTGAGTTGATAATTAATAAGAGTACGAGAAGAGGAACGAATTTCTAGTGGTTGTGGTTTGATTTGGCAACAGCAAATAAGAGTATTAAGCAACGATAATAACAAACGAATGATTTAGATTCGAGGTCTTGAGTTACATTTTGAAGAAAACTAATGTTGGGATGAGAATAAGAAAGCTAAAAAGAGTTTGGATATATAATTTGGGAGCCAATTGGCATCAACAAACGGTTGCCATATTTTAGGGTAAGCTCAATAATCCAGAATTATTGAGTTTTTTGACAATCAAGTTAGAGAGATGGCAGAGAAAAAATTTGAAGAGAGAGAGGAAAAAAAGAAAATAAATAAAATTTTAAATTTTTTTATCTTTAAAGAAGCAGCAAATGACATCATGTTGGCACAAAAGACTAGTGTATTGACTTGTGACCCAACTCGAAATCTATGCACCAACCTGAATCTCTAAGCCTTTAACCAAGCCAACTTTTAGTCATGATCTATGCCAATTTCAAGTAATGGGCAAGTTGCGCACCTGAGCTATGGGCTAGCTGTCTCCAAACCATTAATTGCGTTGATCAAGTCGAACCAAGCCATTAACCAAGCTGGATTTAGTAAATTTTATATCTTATATTTATTTTTTATTTAGTTGAATTAATAATATTTTTTAAAAATTAATTGAAGTTAACAATGATTTTGGAAATTAAACTCATAAAAATCTTACTAATATATTGTAAGATTTCATTGGTTTAAAAAATAATTTTTTGAATATTAAAATAAAAATCCTATCAATATATTGAAAATTTTCATTAGGTTGAAATTTAATTGTTTTGAAAATTAATTTTAAGATAAATTTAACCAAGATTTTGAAGGATTTTCATGTATTTAAAAATAAATTTTGAAAATTAAATTCATGAACATTTATCAAACTATTAGTTGATTTTATAGATTTAAAATTAATTTTTAAAAATAAATTCATGAAATCTGACAAAACTATTGGAGGATTTTATGAAATTTAAAAATAATTGATAATTAAATTCATGAAACCTTACCAAACTATTGAAAATTTTATGATGTTTAAAAATAATTTTTGAAAATTAAATATATGAAATCATACCAAGCTATTGAAACATTTTATAAGTTTGAAAATAATTTTTAAAAATTAATTCATAAAATATTACCAACATATTAAAGGATTTTATGAGTTTAAAATTGATTTTTGAAATTTTAATGAATTCAAACAAAAAGCCTCTCCAAGAGAGACAAGAGTTTTTTTAAATATTCATGAGGTGAGAAAATATTGTTAAATTGTTACCAAATTATTGGAATAATTTAAAAATAACTTTTAATATTTAAATTATTTTAAGATGTTTTTCTCAAAATGTTGAGATTATGGATAACATAAAATCAACTTGTATTATCCTTTGAATGAATGTTGTGGGAGTACTATAATTTTCACTACACATAACCATACTCTTATACTTGACCTAGCTTGTAGATTAGAAATTATTCTTTTAAAGAATCTAAGTCAAACTTAAGATCTCCTTAAAATAAAATAAAATAAATTAGGTAATTAATTATACCTAATAAAAACTATTGATGACGACTTCATATTTGTGTCTAATAATCAAATTTTCAAATTTACACATTATAACAAGTATATATATATATATATATTTATACACACACACACACATACATATTTATCATTATTAAACAAAACAAGGTAAAAGAAACTTACAAACTTCATCTAAATAAATCCAATATTGTCTTTGTAGAATTTAGGAGAAAAAGTAAAATAGCCCTGGAGAATCATGTAATTCCCGTGGAAGCCCACCAGCACATTAGCCATCTATCAAGTTTTAATAAGTTGCGCGATCTCCCTGCTATAGCAAATCATTATCTAAAATGAAACCAATAAGTTTACGATACCTTAAAAACTAACCCGACCAAAGAGAGGGTGAAGACGCTTTATTTTCCATATCTCTTCTAATCAATAATAATTTACAAACAATTTTAATCAGTTTGGGTGGGATCCAAATGTTATGGGCGAGACTTCAACTGGCATTGTCACTTAACTTGGATCGAACCTCTTAAGTCTAGATTAGTGCGCAGATCATGACACAATTACTTAGCTAAAGGAATGTATTATTCTAGATTAGTGCGCAGATCATGACACAATTACTTAGCTAAAGGAGATCATGACACAATTACTTAGCTAAAGGAATGTATTATTATTAACATATCTAGTTTCAGTCTCTTAATAGACGTATACTTAATTTAACAATCTAAAATATGATACAAATACAATATAAATATAGAATATGAAAATAATATGATTCAAAATTTTAATAATAATTATATTTTAGGTTTAACAAAATAAAAATATTTATATTTTATATTTTTATATCGACACGAATTATAACACGTAATTTTTATATAAAATATGATATGAATACATAAATTTTAATATTTTATATGACAAATATACGAATCGTCAAATCTATGTATACCACTATATTTTTAACAATTAGCTTAGCTAATAAATGAAGACATAGTCAAAACCAAACATTCCATAAACATAAGGATTAATGTATTTAATTTGATACTTAAATTTTAAAAATTTTTAATATGATATTCGAGTTATAAATTTATTAACTAATATTATCCATCATGCGTCATCATTTAAAATTAATCACGTTTAACATGAATATTTCGTTCTTAACACATTTATATTTTAAATACTAATTTAAAATATTTTTAAATTTTAAATATTATATTAAATATTTCTAAATAATTTAAACACCTTCTATAACATTAACCGCAAACAGGAACTCCATAAAATATGCAGTGAAAAGCGCACTTTTAATGAATGATTGGGATTTGCAGCGTAAAAGGCTTTAGAAGAACTAAGAGAAAGAGGGCAAACTATAGGGTAGCTAGACGTGCGAGTTGAGGAGCAAAGACGGTAAGAATGAGACGATAATAGAGGAAGAGGGGGGCAAATCCAAGCAATTGCAGTTCCCTCGGCGGGTATGGATGCTCCATTCTCTCTTTCTCTCTCTCTCTCTCTACTTGTATACTATATAAGCATAAGAAGATAATAATACCTCATCTCGCTTTTGTTTTTTTCTTTTCTCAATCATATGGTAGTATACTTATTTTTCTAAAGTTTAATATAGTACTTTATTCTATTCATATTTTCAAGCTTTTTCAACTCAATGGAAAAACACATTTGACATTTGGGACCAATTAAATCCCACGTGGGTGTGTTTTAGGGTAAGCCTTCAATCGGATGGTTGAAAATAATTGTGGCGACGAACTGTATAATGATTTTGGAGATGTAATAGTGACATTAAAATCACATTTCAAAAAAGTATATTTGGTAAAAACAAGGATGAAGTAAAAATGAAAACTATTTTCCTTGCTTTAATAGAGATGAGGAATGTTGCACAAATTTATTTTGCTTTAAAATAATGGAAATTACACAAATAATAAAACATCAACTCCCCACTGCTCCTTATTGTCAACAAAAATAAAAATGTCGTTGATATTCTATAAATAAATTTATGGAATGCCAACTAAAGAATAGGGTACACTTTAAGTTACAAAATTGTATATTAGGAAAAGACTCAGCCTTTTGGCCTTTTACTCATGGCTTTGCGCTTGTTAACATCCAGATATCTCTTCCTTAATCGGATGGCCTTTGGTGTAACCTGCATCTCAATTACTATGGTATCAGATATCTCAGTCAGTCTTAAATCAGAACATCAATGTCAAGAGTAACTTACCTCTATAAGCTCATCAGAAGCAACATAACCAATGGCTTCTTCGAGAGTCATCTGGACACAAGTGCATTCAAATGTCACAAGTCAAATGCAAAGCTGAAATGATGTTTGATTTATCATGTTACAAATGCTTTTAAAATGTTCCATAAAGCAGCTTGATTGATTTGAACTAAGGCCAAAACTGACACACAAGTGTCACTATTATTTTGGGAAGGATTCTAAAAAGATCTAAGTGATCCGTCAAGATTCTTTGATGACATCCTACTGTGACCAATCTGGGTGCATTCCAGCACCTTACCAGCAAGAAGAGCCCAGATTAAACATGGAAATAAAAGAAACATTGTTCCTTGCAATAAAATGCAGTGCGATGTGTGTCAACGGTCGACAAATAAATGATGAAACGAACTTAAGAGGAAACAAAACCAAGTTATGTCAATAGTAGACAATGACGTACAAGTCTTGGAGGAGATAGTTTCACATTTTCATCCTTGCTAGCAGCACGAATATTTGTAAGTTCTTTACTCCTGACTGGATTCACCTGCAATAAGGTAGTAATTGCAAAAGGGTCAGTCATCCATAGACAAAACATCGCGTGCTGCAGGGGAGCTCCATCTTTTCTTACATCGAGATCTGTATCACGTGAATGTTCACCAACAATCATGCCATCATATGTCTGCAAGCCAACAAATAAACAATAATTAGTGTTTTAACGAAGTAGAGCTGGCATGAACCTGAAAGAGTCTACCCAACCAGAACTCAATTCAATGTGTTTTTAGTCTAAAAGTTAACAACACAAACCTCAAAAACCCAAACCACAAAACTTAAACTAAGCAATAAATATATTTTTTCTTATTTAAACTTCAATTCAACTAAAACATAATAAATATAATAGTATAAATTAGTTTTAAAATGATCTAATTTTCTACTACATGAACCAACTAGATTTGAAACCCGGGGTGACCCTAACCAAACATGACCCATATCCGAAGTGACCCAAACCTTAAATGACATGAAATTCATTACCTGATCCTGACCCAACATGCCTAATTGCCACCTCTATACAAATGCAAACCACATTTAATTAATAAATTTACAAAGTGTGCCTCAATTATTTGAAAAACAATATATACATTACGGTAAAGAGTCAAAAATGTCCTTGAACTATAAGCCCCGAACATTTTATTACAATTAATGAGGTCCTTAATCTTTTATTTCTACTCAATTGAATCCTTAAATTGACAGAATCTAATCATGTGACAAAATTTAATCAATCATCATCAGAACTATAGTCAACTGAAACCTTAGATGAATCTTAAAAAGAGAGGGGAAGAGAAAATAAAGAATATTAATTGCTTCACACGACAATTTTTAATTTATTTTATTGATGTCATAAGAAATTTATTTTAGTTAGCAAAAAAATTAACGGTGTTACCTTTTTCATCCAAATAAGGACTTAATTGGATGCAAAAAGATGTTAGAAGGGTTGGTTAATTGCAATAAAAAAATAGAGGTTTAGATTTTTTTTAATTATAGTTCAAGAGCTTTTTTAACTTTTTAGCCTATATAATACTAAAACAGAAAATAGAAGACAAAGCTACAATGCCATCCTCAAACTATATATATATATATATATATATATATATATGTTGCTTCGACTCTTCATTTTCCTGAAGTACATTTGTTGACAAATATCTAGACACAAGTATGGAAATCCGACCCTCCAAATATATGGAATAACTTTGGAAAATGAGCATACTAGATATATACTCGTATGCAATACTCACCCGAGTCCAAGAAGCATAATATGTATATATATGTTTGCATGTATACTTAAACCTATGTATTTATTGTGAATTACTAACTAGAAAATAGAGACCAAACTGTCATGCCATTCTCATACACAAAGGAAGGTGAGTCCTACTTTTAACCAAGCAGCATCATCAACAAGGTATCTATTGTCTGGTTATAATTTTGTGTCTAATACTATTAATTGTAGTGTTATAGACTTGTCAACTTGAACATCAGTTAAAATACACAAGGGTTCATTTAGAATAGACCTATAACAGGGAAATATAGGTGGTACAGAAATTAGCATGTAGCCTAATGGTTATCGTGTTCCTAAAATAAGTGCAGAGTCCTGGGTTCAACTGTGGTTATAGAAGGTGAGTGGGCTGGAAAGTATTATCTCTAATTGCAAAATCCTACCGATTGAATTTTTAGAAAAGTTAATAATAATAATAATAATATCACCCATTGGAAGGCTAGTAACTTGTGGGAGTTAGGACCATGCAGAGGCAAATAAGCAAGTTGCACAATTAGTAATCGAACTATGAAACAACCTCCATCCCCGGAGTCACAAAAAGAGTTCCACGAGCTTCTAAACTCATCAAAGCATATGCTGTGATTGTACCATAACCCATTGATACCTGCTTAGGGGAAACAATAAGTAATTATTCAGAAGCAATTATATGCATTTTGGTGTATAAAATTTTCAAAGCAGTAATTATTGTCTGATTACCCTAAAAGCTAGAATTCTAACAGTCATAGCGTATAGTGAATGCCAAACAGGATGTAATATGCCTATAAAATTTTCAATGACTACTTGTCCATTGTATTAAGTTTTGTCCATGTCAGTTTTTAAGCAACATTCTTCTTCCTCTATTAAGAAATAAGGGTGTCATCACAAATTAAAGCTATTACTTATGAACTTTATAAGCAACCCATACAATTATGATTCCCTCATTTACACCTTTTTTAGTATAGAGACTTTCTCAGCTCTACTTAATAATGATGACTTTTCTTTTTCTAATTTATTATTCAAAATATGTCCCTCCGTTGAATGTATTCATCCACTATTTCAAGCGGAGTCTAAGATGTGCCTAATCCAATCATAAATGATTATTTTTTGGTAGAAACTAGAAGCATGCATTTTTTTAAGTAACTAGGCTTTGCTGTCTTGCAAGGGGACATGTAATAATTAACAAATTCCTATTATAGCTTCTTAGACCCATGAAAAATCCACATGCTCACCTAGCCACAAATGTTTGCACACTTGCAAACACATTCTAGCTTGGAATAGCTTTGTTAGGGCTTTGCCAAAAAAAAAAAAAAAAAAAACCCAGAAAACTGAAAAAGAAAAAAACCGAACCATATATTTGGTTCGGACCCAGTATTCATGAATAAATGGTTTGGTTTCAAACTTTCCAAGAAGAGCCATGTAGGATATCAGCTCAGTTCAGTTCATGCAGTTTAATACTCAGAAAAACCTGAAGCGGACAATATACATCCTATCTAGTGCCTGTAATTCTCAAATTCCAATGGTTAAACGTGATACTTACCATGCAACACTCCAGAGCCTATCCTACCCAGTCCTAAATTTAAGCCTAAAGACAAGCTTTTGTAGATAGTCCAGACTGCATGTCGTCTTTCTTCTCTCCTTTCTCCTGCAAGCGTAGCTGTACATGTCTCTTTCTTTCTCCTTTCAAAATTCATGTTTAATTGTTTTATTTCATTTTTTATCTCTGAAACTTCTAATCAAAACAGATCTACCAAAATCCAGCCATACCCAACTAGATCCATTTTCTTTTTCATTTCATCATGCAATTTTAACTGTAATATTTTATTAAAGATGTTCCTAGGATTTGAATTCCATTGATATTTTCTACATCTACCAAAATCCAGCAAGACCCAACTAAATCCATTGTTTTTTTCATTTCATCCTGCAATATTTTATTAAAGATATTCCTATGATTTGAATTCCATTGATATTTTTTAGAAAAATTCAGACATGACTGAAACTGAAACTAAACCTAATTCAGTAAGATGCTGTTTGGTTTTTGTCCTTATTCAGTTGGGTTTCAATTAAATGAAAAATGTGAATGTTTAAGTTAAGTTTTGTGCGTTTCTCAATATCGAAATGATCCGAATGGAATACATGACTTCCTTGTCAATTGAAGGCAATGCCTAATTAGTTCCCCTTGACATCAGATTGTATCACTCAAAAAAAACCACAAACATATACACAAGGTTCAGATAAACAATTTCAGAATTTCACATCTTAATTTTTCTTCATTAAGGTAGAGGAATATAAAGTCCAGCTGCATGAGTTTCTTTCTTATAGCCAGTAGTGAGCCTAGATAACAGAAGATGGCAGTCTACAACCACCATGAAACTTAGTCAAATCTTATGAATATAGATAATAATGGAAATTATGCTCATGCTAGGGTGTTCCTTACAAGCAGCACACTCTATAGCTAGAACACAGCAAGAAGTAAGAAAGACCTGCTGCATCAGCACCTGAGTGTAGTACAAAACTACACTGTACAACTCCAGTATGTTGAATCAAACTATATTAAATTGTATTGCAGAACAAGTTCTTCAAAACCTAACATCTGATGAAGGTTGTATCCTTGATGCTATAAAAGATTACAAATGTTGAATTTATGAAAAAATGTCTTCCTCTTGAATTTTTTACTTTCATCAATCATTTCTATCCACAAAAGAAACATCATTTAAAGAAGCTTTTGGTTTGTCTAAACAAGCACAATGGAATTATACTACACTTATAGAAAACATCATGGTACTTAAATCACAAGAAAGCATTAGGGAAACTTACCAATACTCCTTTCCTGACATTTCCGAGAGGACCTCGATATTTTTCATATGCTACAAAAAACAAATTGTGGAAAGTGTGAATGAGACTAGGAAAATTTTCTTGTACACCAGCTATGGAGTTTTTTAAACTCCAAAAGCAGCTGTTAGAGAGTCCCATTAGGTATATTTATGAAAATTAATTAATTAATTATTAAATGGACATATAAAAACCATCTAATCCATCTCATGATGTTTAAAAATTCTATTGTCAGTGTATAGAATAATAACCTAACAAGGAAAATTATCTTATACACCAGTGGTGCAATTTTTAAATTTCACAAGCAGCAAAAGGGTTGATACATGTTCCATTAGAACATATTTAAGAAAATTAATAAATTAATTAATTATTAAATGGACAAATAAAAACCATCTAACTGCATTTGTGGAGTTTAAAAATTCCACCACCAGTGTCTGGTAGAATAATAATCCCATTCCTTAAGATAAGCTGCCTCAAATTTAATCATGTTCCTAATATGTTTTCAACACTATCCACAAGATAACAAGAATCTCACTGGTTTACAACATTTACATGAAATATGGCATGCAGGTTGAAAACTTTTCTTTAATTTTTTTTACAGCACAGATGATACATACAGATCTATAAGCAGAGAAAGCACAAGCTCATTCAATATGTTATCATTAGTGGAACAAAAAGAGGGAACAGACAATCTCTATTTGTAGACAACCAAAAGATTTTGCTTTCAGAGAATCATGACATGACAACATGATGCAATGGACATGGAAAACAAGACAAAAGAAAAGGAAAGAGAAGTATCTCTAGCAGAAATGCATACTTAGAAAAGCACGATGCATAAATCCAGTTCCACGTGAATCACTGCTGAAGACACTTTTGTAACCAACGAGGCCCCTGACATACAAAATAAAAGGATAAATTAAATTTTTTCCTTGATTCTTACTGTAAAATCAGCCAAACAAAACAGCATTCAGATAGAATTTTTACGAAAGAAACAATCACATCATCTCTTCTTATCTAGGAAGCACGGATACAAACACATATACGACACGTCACAAACATTACGACACGACAATTTCTAAAAATGAGGACACAAATACGGTAGGACACTACATTAAAAGATATTTTTTATATATTTTTTTATCCATAAATTTTTTATATGAATAAAAATTAAAAACAATTAGAAAGCAATTAAAGGTTTGTGTAAAAGAAAAATAAAATAAATTTATAAACAAAATTAAAAATATGTACAAAAAAATCAATCAACATAATTACAATTTGATTAACTTAATTTTTAATTCGAATAGATTATAAAATACTAAATTTACTAAATAATTTCATTTTTTTTCCTTTTTTTCTTTTCTTTTCTTTTCTTTTTCTTCCTTCTTTTTCTAATTTTTTTATATTCTATCTATCTTGGGTAAGGGACACTCTCAGTGTAAAGAACAGGAAAGGAAACAACTCATGGGTAATCGATATTGCACATGAGTGATGTAGAGGTTGGAGGTAGTCCTCGATTCCATAGGGAGGGAAGAGAGAATAGACTACCAAAGACCTCATATAGCTTGAGTGAGATGGTCATGGGATGGCACTCTCACGATCAAACTTGTTCATTTCCTTTCCTGTACTCATTATCCTTTCTCATCGGCTAAGAACCATAAATCAACAATTCCTTTAGCTTGGTTATCTAGTTTTGTTACCAGTATGGAGCCACTGTCGGTCGGTCACACATGAGAAGCACTAATTAGGTCAGATCAAGCGGTCACCACTCCCTTAGCTAATAGTGCTATCTCAAGTTTTAAAGATTTCCTCCTTCCCACTTATTCTTCTTTTTTCCTCTTTTTCACTTTATTCCCTTCCCAAAACATACTGTTTAGATGCTTTTAAATATCCAAGTTTTTATTTGTTTCACTTTTTCCTTCCCCCACTCTTTCTAGCCTCTTTCACCATCTCACTTCTCTCTAAACACTCTACTACCAACCACCGCCCCAACGAAGATTCAGGCATGTTACCACCGTCACCGACCACCATCAGCCAACAGCTATTTTCTTCAAAAAAAAAAAAAATTCTCTCAACCTCCTCTTTCTCCTGTCCAACTAGATTTCCCAAAAAATAATTAGAAAAACCTAGATCTACCAAAAAAAAAAAAAAAAACCTGTGGCCTCCACCCGCTTTTTACTGTTTTCTGCCACCTAAAACAGCTAGCACCGCCTCCACTTTCCTCCCACTACCGTGTCCATCACCGTGTCCCAACACGTCCATCACCATGTCTTGACCTTGTCCAAACTTTTTTTTGTCATGACTCAACGTGTCTCGTACATATAATGACATGCCAGCAGTGTGTCCATGTCAGACATCAATACGCATAGGTTCCAACATGTCCGTGCTTCCCAGCTTCTTATACATGCCTTCATTGAGTGATTATAATAATCTGCTCAACTACTCCCACGCTATCATCATTTGCAATAATCACAAATATAGAGAGAGGAAAACTAATCATTTTTCAAATTAAAAACACCTAATTAGATAAACTATGGTAGAATTGAACCACCATCCCCACCCTAGTCAACATTAATTTAACAACATGCCCTTCTTCGCAACATGATATCCTGGAATCAAATCCATCTAGCTCCTTGACTACTGCAAGTTGTTTGTACTTCTATTATATTCTGTTGCCCATCACATGGATTGGCCCACAAGATCTCACACTACACCCTCTTACAGTGGAGTGCATTCAATCAAGACAAAAACCCAATGGCTAAACTTCTATATTGCAAGATGTATTATGAAAGATCACATCCTGCTCTAATTTCCATGAATGGATTGTTTCGACCATCATTCTTTAGCTTTTGGCAGTAAAAGAAATTGTCTTAATTCATCAATACAGCAGAATGGGTATGATTTTTATAACATTCCATGAGCACAATGGAGAAACCTTAGTAAATATTGCAACATCTTTGTTTTGCTATTCCAATTATTAATTAATGTTAAATCTTATATTTTTAGTAATCATTTTCATTTTTTTTCATTTTACTCTCAAGTTTATATAGGACAAGATTTGGGGAATTCTGCCTACTTGGGGTTAATGCTGGGCTAATGTTGAAACGTTGGAGAAATTTTCGATAGGACTATGGTAGAAATCACGGTGATGGTTTAGGAATCACTAAAGGTTTGTAGCAAGGGAGATTATATATCAAAAGAAGGCTGACACTGAAGGAAAAGGTTGACAAAATTTCTGGGCAGAAAAAGCAATAAGATTTAGCTGCGGAATTGGGGGATTTAGCAGGTGGGAACTAAAATGAAAAAAATATGGCACAAGAATTACAGTTGGAACTTGAATATTGTTTGTATTGACAGTTGTCAATCTTGAATGACTGGTTATGGAATCATGTAAATTACATTTAAATGGGAATTTTTCCTAACTGATTAAGAGATAACAAAAGAATTTATTCATTTCTAATACTAAATGTTCATGCAGTAAGAACAAGAGGGGATTCACCGAGTATTCCGTTTTTTCAGAGTCCTGCTTAGAGATTAAACTGAGCACTAGATATGAAATGTGTTTAGGTGGCAAATAAGAGATGCACACTAGTTTAAAGGAAAAGGTTCTCCACTGTTAACTGTAAGCCAAGAACACTGTAGCAGCAAGAGAAGAAGATAGGAATTCTCAATGTCCCAATCATGTACTCTCAAAGAATTCTTAAAAACTGACATTTTGATCTGTGCCAAGTCTGGCAATACAAAAAGATGTAAATGAAGCTAATACCTATTTTTGTTACTTGGATTAGGACTCCTTAAATCATTAGACTTTGAAACCTAACTCAAATGATTGAAAAAGTTAAATCTTCAGTTACTCCAAAAACTAAAATAAGATCCAGCAGACCTTGGTTAAGCATTCAGAAAGACAAAAATTAAAATACCCTGGAATCACTAAAACTTAATCAACTAGTCAACTATTGCAGAAATTACATACTAAAAGGTCACCTTTCCTTAGACCAAAATATCATCTTAACCCTTCACTTCCAGAGAGGAAAAACTTCATCTAACCAGGCTATTGATGCACTATCATGTATCGATTAGTTCTTAACTTTTTTTCTTTAGGGGAACCAAATATTAGTACTTTATTCCTCCAATGACATTATATTCTTTGATCAGTAATTCCCATTTGTTTTATTTCAATTACTTGTAAATTCCCCACCCCATTCTTTGTCAATATATGGCACATATTTCAAGAAATCACTAAAAAAAATGTGAAAATCTAATCTTTATTATTACTTGATTAGTTGACTTTGTCCATTTTAGTTAAGTCTCTTAATTTTAGAATAAGAAGTGATTTGGGTAATTACACCAAAATCCATTAAATATTTTCCTATTATGTGTAGAAAGTAAATTACTCCTTTGATTAGCTATTTGAATACAAGAAAATTTTGGGTTTTAAGGTTGAGAACACTCAGTCTTTAGCTTATATATTTTCATGCAATTCTAGTATTGTAATAAGAAAAATATAGAAGAATAAAAAAGTTTTATTTTAAGGGGCGTTTGGTTCGAGGGAATCCACACATTTTCTCCCGGAATCTTACCGTTGGGTATTTGATTCCAACGTTTGGTTCAAGGTAAACTGATTTAGGGGAAACTAACAGATTTCCAACAGTGCCTAAAGTTCAGGATCAAAAACTCACCTTTCCTTGTGGTATTCTAGGATTCCGAGGGGAGAAGTAGCACTATTTTCAAATTTGACGTAACTAAAAAATTGGGAAATAACCGTTACCATTTTGAAAAGCATGTCTAGAAAAGTTGCTGGTAAAAAATTTGGTTTATATATGGTGTTTGGCATGAAAAACACCTTTCATAATCCCTTACAAAAAATTGAATGTGGTTATTCAAGGTGTTTGTGGCCAAACACCTTCAATAACTCCATTCAATTTTTTGTAAGGGAATATTCAAGGTGTTTTCTGGGCAAACACGCCTTGAATAATCCCTTCATATAAATTGAAAGGGACTATTGAAGGCATTTTTTGCCAGAAACGCCTTGAATAACCCTATTCAATTTTTTGTAAGAGATTATTCAATGCGTTTTTTGGGCAAAAACGCCTTGAATATTCCCCTCTAAAAAATGAAGGGGATTATTCAAAGCGATTTTAGCCATAAATGCAATGAATAACACCATTCAATTTTTTCTAAGGATTATTAAGACATTTTCTGGCCAAAAACGCCTTGAATCCCCTTTAATTAAAAATTGGATTATTTAAGCCAACATCATATATGCCAAGGAGATTATAGTAATTATTCAAGATTTAATATATGTGGATTCCCCCTAACCAAACGAGTGAATCTGAACACAGGATACCCTAAAAATGGAAGAAAACCTTGAGTATCGCATTTTCCCAAGGATCACACTTTCCTTTGGAATCTACGATTCCGTGAACTAAACACCCCCTTAGAGATTTCTTCATGGTATCAAAGCACAATCTAAACCTTTGAAAATTTTCACTTGGAGTCCAACATGGTCAGCTGAAAAGAGAACCCGGCGTCATAGGTTACCTCTATCCCCGGAGCTAGCATTTCCCAATCACTGCAGAACATTACCACTTCTATTCAAACAGGTTCTTTAGCACAAAAAGGTAATTTTCTAAAGGCCTTGAGTGTAAAACTAGAGAAATCAAATTCATGTATTGTGGATTTAAGAGCTTCATACCATATGATTGGGGATGCATCTGTATTTAGTAAATACAACCCATGTCATGAAAACTTCACAATTCGAATTGTTGATGAGTCATTTTCAAAAGTAACCAACAGGTTTTGTTATTATTTCCAAAGAGATAACACTTGATTATGTTCTATTTGTCCAAAATCCAAGTTGCAATCTACTATCTATAAGCAAACTTACAAGAGAC